TGAATTCCACTCTTTCTGAGGATATTGTTCCGTTTACTGTTGGTGTCGCTTCGTCTCGCGATCTCTGGTTAAAACCTTGAGCATCTATTTGGTGGTTGTGTCTGCCGCTCACATTCATCAGCTCCCGTTCTCGCCTTCACTCTGTTCACAAAGGCGATCTCTCTATCTCAGATTATTGCAGCGCATCAAAGGTCTTGCTGATTCTTTAATGGCTGCTGGAGCTCCGGTTTCTGATCAATGATTTGATTGCCGTCACTCTTAATGGCTTTACCTGATGAATATGAGTCATTCATTGACTCTATCATGCTCAGGATTTCTACCACAACACTGGATGAACTTCAATGGATTGTTGATTAACAAGGAAGTTTTCATGCATCGCAAGAAGAACAATGTGGCCTCCTCTGCTTCTGAGCCTTTTCAGGCATTTGCTGCGCAGTATCAACCTCCTCTTCTTCCTACACCATCCCAGTTCTATAATTTTCCTCAAAGCATTTGCTGCTCACTGCAGTCATCTTACAGTGCGCCATCCAAGTTTCACACCAATAATCGAGGTCGAAGGTTTCTCTCCCGCGCAAATCCTCGTGGTAATTTTTCTAAAGAATTCCAACAATCGTGGTCAATTCAACAATTCTGGTGGGGAATCATGGCAATTACAGAAACTTCTCTGGAAATCGCAATCATTTTGGTGGTAATCGTAGTCAATTCAACAATTCTGGTGGTCGAACTTCCTGCCAAATATGTAATTCGTTTGATCACGAAGCTCTGGATTGCTATGCCCGGATGAATCATGCTTTTGCTGGCAAAATCCCTCCTGCACAGCTAGCTGCTATGTGTGTTTCACACCAACTCTAAGCCATCCTCTCCCACTTGGTTAATGGACTCGGGTGCCACCTCTCATATTGTTAATGATATATCTGCAATTCAGGCTCCCCGTCCGTATTCTGGCGATGACAAGGTGTATGTTGGTGATGGTCAAGGTATGGCTATTCATCATACTGGTAACTCTACAGTCTCAACACCACATGCTTCTTTCCGATTAAATAATATTCTTCATGTTCCGCTGATGAAATTCAACTTACTCTCTGCCTATCAATTCTTGAAAGATAACTATTGTTCTTTGACCCTTGATTCTGATGGTTCTGAAATCAAGGATCGTTCTTCGGGGAGGACGCTTTTCGAGGGCCAGTTAAAAGAAGGTTTCTATCCATTTCAAGGTCTCTCTTCGGTTTCTTCTTCACATACTGCTCTTCTCAGCACTAAAGCCTCTTTGAAGACATGGGCATCACAGACTTGGTCATCCTTCCTCTGCTATGTTTAGGAAAGTCTTAAATAAGCATTGTATTGATCACATTGGTGACCAGTCTGTATCTTTCTTTTGCTCCGACTGTGCCATCGGCAAAAACCACAAGCTGCCTTTTTTTTTCTAGTACTAGTTCTGCTTTCAACTAGTTTAGAGTTACTCCATTGTGATGTTTGGGGTCCCTCTCCAGTTCTTTCTGTTACTGGTTACAGATTCTACCTGTTGATTGTGGATGAGTTTTACTAAAATACACATGGATGTTTCCCATGAAAGCTAAGTCTGAGGTTTTTTCTCTATTTGTCTTCTTCAAAGCTTATTGTAGAAAACCTTGATTGGAAATAAAATAAAGATTTTGCGGATCAGATTCAGGGGGTGAGTTCACCAGTTCCGAGTTCAATTCTTTTCTAGCTCGCAATGGTATTTCTCATCAATATAGCTGTCCTCACACTCCGGAACAAAATGGGTGTGTTGAACGGAAGCATCGTCATCTTACAGAGACTGCAAGAACTCTTTTGGTTTCTTCTCGGGTTCCACACAAGTTTTGGGTTGAAGCTTTTGCAACTGCTCTTTATCTCATTAACCGCCTGCCTATTTCTCGGTTGGATACATCTCCTTGGGAACTTCTTTTTCGACGTCCTCCAGATTATTCCAAGTTAAAGGTCTTTGGATGCAGCTGCTACCCTTGGCTCAAACCCTATGTTTCCTCGAAATTGGACGGCAAAAGCACACATTGTGTCTTCCTTGGTTATAGTCTTCAGCACAAAAGGCTATCGTTGCTTAGATCTCCAATCTCAACGCCTTTATATTTCAAGGCATGTTATGTTTAATGAAGAGCATTTTCCGTTTCATGATGCCCATCACCTTTCTTCTTCCTCCCTGCCACAGTCCACTGCCTCTACATCATCTCCACACTTCACTCTCCCTTTCCCTTTCTTTCAGCATACTCCAGCTTCCTCATCACTCTCTTCATCTCCGCTAGTTCATTCCTGAACTATCTCTGCCATTATCTTCTTCTCCGGTACTGTCATCCTCCTCTTCCTCTTCTTCTAATGCTTCCTTACCTCTGCCTTCCCATCCATCCTCTTTCCGTTCAACCCCTCTATTCCCTCTAATTCTCATCCTATGCTCACCCGATCTAAAGCCGGTATTTTCAAACCTAAAAGCTCTATCTGCCACTAAGCATCCCATCGATATTGATACTTTTGTGCCTACCACTTATCTGCAAGCATCTAAGCATGCTCATTGGGTTCAGGCCATGTCAGAGGAATTTGAGGCTCTTCGACACCACTGGTACTTGGACATTGGTACCTTCCTCTCCTCACCACAATATTGTTGGCTGCAAATGGGTGTTTCGGATTAAAAGGAAACCTGATGGCTCGATTGATCGTTACAAGGCTCGCCTTGTAGCCAAAGGATTTCACCAGCAGGCCGGTATTGATTTTACAGAAACTTTCAGCCCGTTGCCAAACCAGTAACCATTCGCATTCTATTAACACTTGCTGTCCACCATGACTGGTTCCTTAATCAGTTGGATATTAGTAATGCGTTTCTTCATGGTTCACTGAAAGAAGAGTGTTTATGCAACAACCTCCTGGTTTTGTTGATGCTTCTCAGCCTTCTTTTGTCTGTAAGCTCAATCGCTCTCTTTATGGCTTAAAACAAGCCCCTCGGGCTTGGTATGATAAACTTGGATCTACCTTGCTCTCTCTTGGGTTTGCTAATTCTAAATCTGATTGCTCTCTGTTTGTGTGTACCTCTCCTTCTTTGGTGATTGTCTTGGTGTACGTTGATGACATATTAGTCACCGGACCCAATACCTCTCATTGCCAAGCTTTCATTCAAAAAGCTCAGTACCCTGTTTCCTGTCAAAGACTTAGGTCCCTCTCCACTATTTCCTTGGTCTTGAAGTCCATCGATCCTCTGATGGTATCTTCATGTCTCAAGGCAAATATGCTATGGATCTTCTTATTAAGACGAAAATGGAAGGATGCAAGCCTTTGTGCCACTCCTCTTGGTACTGCCAAATTGGATCACATTGGAACTTTGTTGCCTGATCCAAAGGAGTATCGGTCCATCGTTGGTGCTCTCCAATATCTCACATGGACTAGGCCAGATCTGTCCTTTGCTGTGAACCAAGTCTGTCAGTTTCTTCATTGCCCTCGTGACACTCATTTTCAGGCTGTTTAAACGTATTCTTCGGTTTCTCAAGGGTTCTGTTGATCAAGGCATCTGGTTCAAAAAGGGATCTCTGCAGCTCACAGCTTTCTCGGATGCTGATTGGGCTGGTTGTGTTTTTGATAGACGCGTTCTACATCTGGTTATTGTGTTTACTTTGGTCCCAATCTTATCAGTTGGAGTGCTAAAAAGCAGGCCACTGTTGCCCCGCTCTTCAACCGAGGCCGAGTATCGCTCTCTTGCTCTTACTGCTGCTGAACTCACATGGATCTGCAAAGATTTTCAAAGACATTACTTTCCCTCTTTCTCATACTCCCACACTGTGGTGTGACAATGTTTCTGCCATATCTTTGGCTTCCAATCCTGTGTTTCATGCGCGCACTAAACATGTGGAGAATCGATTATCACTACATTAGAGAGCTTGTTCTTGCTGGTTTAGTCAAAGTGTTGTATGTTTCCACTGATCATCAGATTGCAGACATCCATACAAAGCCCCTATCCAAGGCTCGGTTTCACTTTCTTCAGTCCAAGCTTTCTCTGGGATCTCCTCCGCTTAGCTTGAGGGGGTGTAAAGGGATAAGTAGTCATAGCTAACAGCTGTCATTTTCAGATGTACAGCTGTCATGTTTAGATGTAACAGTTTTGCAACTAATCTCTGTATTAGATACCTACTAAAGTATAATTAGGTACTAAGCTTTATTAGAGAACTGTATATATATTGAGTTGTAATCCTTACACATTAAGTAATGAAATACAAAGAGTTATTTCTTATATTTACCATGTTTAGTTTAATACTTCCTTATTGATGTTGACAAATATTTGATGGATAACACATGTACATAAGCAATGATTTCAAATCTTAAGTTCAAAGCGTGCTCAAACGATTTTACGGAACGTGAGTTTGGGTTTGGTTCTTTTGGATAATTTTCAACATTTCTCGTGTAAATCTGAATTAGGAGATGATACCGGTGCACGACAGTGATGTGCAATTTGGTCGGCCAATTATTGGTGGGGCTCCATCCCAACCCTAATATTAAATTTTAATTGAAAATACCTGAATCTTCAGGGACTGAGTTTCCCCCATGCTTCTTTTTTTGTTTTGACTTTTTTTGTTTTGATTTTTTTTGTTTTGTTGAAAACAGCAAGGCCTGTCATCGATACTGCCGACATTGTAGGAAAACAAACACAAAGTATGAAACAAATAATATGTTCAACTATAATTCTAGGCCTGCAAATGTGAAACACTAGACTTCCATCTCTGTTTATTGATTGAATTATACTTCGTTGATCGGAATTAGGCTAGTTGATTAGCGTAAGATTCCAACTCTCTAACACTTGAGTATGAATCCTTTTTTGCAAAACTCAAATAGTCTAGAATATCGTCTTTTCACGAAAGTTCAAGACCCATGTCACGCTATGAGTTTGACGTTTACATATTCAAGTGATTAGCGTTGATTTGGTCTTCCCGCGTAAACATTTATATATGGCTCTCTCTCTCTCTCTCTCTCTCTCTCTCTCCTGCAGAAAATATTGTGTAAGCAGCAATTTCTGTGAAGGAGCAGCAAACAGAGTAAGCCAAATTTCATCTGTTCAAACAACATACAATTTGTTACTAGATTCAGCGTCACCGTCGCCCTTATTGACTCTCCATTTTTTCTTCCTCTCTCTCTCTCTCTCTCTCTCTCTCTCTCTCTCTCTCTCTCTCTCTCTCTCTCTCTCTCTCTCTCCTCTAATCCATTTAAATTTAAAGAGCTGCTCTCTCATTTTTTCTCCGGGGCCTTAGTTTTTCGGTGTTCTTCGTATGCTCTACATATGTAAATCATACACACTCGGAAACTCCAGCAAACCCGGATGAACAAGTCCCCCAATTGTAGATATTGTTAGGGTTGTTTTCTCGGTCTGCAGGTTACTATCATGTCTTATCTAACGGCAAGAACAGGGCGGCAGAGGCAGCGCTACGACGGTCATTTGAGGCTTGTTTCGGGGTGAGCACTTCTATCACCTCTTTGTTTTTGGTCATAGATTGTTCCCTTCGTTCTCTTTTTATCGAAGGAAGCAAGTGTTTTACTGTTTACTGAGAGTATGAATCCGAATTGAAGCCTTGCTAGCACTCGTTTTATGATAATTTCTTGATGTTTTAGCATCATGTGTTAATTATGTTTCAAATGATTTTATCTTTGTGTGTGATAAAAAAGGAGGCAGATTGTCTGTCCGTCTTTTATCATACCCTTCTCATCCCCTCTCGTATTGTACGGTCATGGTTAAATTACGTCAATATTTTATATTGATTTTTTTATAAAGATAATAAGAAAAAAAACAATAAAAATATAAAATATTAACGTGGTTTAACCGTAACCGCATAAATAAGAAGAGATGGAAAGAGTATGATACTGGAAGAGCAGACAATCTGCCTCCGATAAAAAAAAACTTGCGCAATAGGTAGAATTGAGGTGACAAGAGCTTATCTCTGGGTCCCAATGTTTTGTTTTAACAAGTTGCCAAAGGGTCCAAAATTGCTAATGGCCAAGGGTTGAGTTGCTAAAGCTGGGCCTAAAAATTGCCTTTTGATGGTTCATGGGTCCATTCACTTATGTTCACACTTCACACCAACTATCGGTAATTTCCCTTTTAGTCATTGCGCAGTTGTAGTGTTCTCTAATGTGAGTTAATAAGCATATCACATTCATAGTAAAGTTATTTTCTAATCAAGACTTTAAATAACATTTTCTATCTTAATCGTCGGAAAAGACCTATAAGGCTTAGACACATATCAATTGTCGATATCTTACCTAATGGCTAAGGAAGACGTAGCAATTTAAGAACTTTATCGTCTTTGTATGTATGTCTATGTCTCTTAGCTATCTTTGCATCTCAATTGTTTGTTTGTATCAGTTGAGTCATGAGTCGAACTTTAGCAGGCTTTCACTTCATCTTGAGTTGACATTATAGCAAGTGTAAAACTGAAAAGCTTTCTAACTAATGTTTTGTACGGTTCTCTTGTTTTGATATCCGTGATTGACAATATTATGCTTGCAATATTGCATAACTCAGACTGGTAACTGTTTATCTCCTCTTAGGAGGAGGATTTAGTCTCTCCTCGAGACTATCATAATTACGTACTACGTATTAAGAACAAAACTTATGCTTATAAATATGATCGTCAACTATTAGATTAGTCTTCATGAATAATAATGCAGGAAAATGCTACAAAAATTTACAATGTTCCGTTTGCAGCATAACTGATCTGGTAGAAACCATAACACGAGTAAACTTAAGAGTCATCATGAATAATGCAGGAAAATGATGTAAATCTTTACATTGATACCCTCCTCTTGCTGATTACCGGGAAATAAGTACTTAGGTAGGTAGAGTCTAATTTCATGATCAAAACATTTTGTTTGAAAATGTAGCTAAATCATGGAATCTTCATATAATACGGTTCAGTAGGTACATCATGTCATCATAACTAGTTTATTCTTTGTGTTGGTCCTATCGCTTATTTTGCGTTGGATATCCTTTCTGTACGTGGTTGATATTGTTCTTCATTCAGAACTACTCCTTCTCACTCTCTAGGTTTTATGGGGGTTTTTTTCCTCATTCTGCATTTCTCTTTCAACCAAATATATTCTCTCATATTATTTGAATCTGCTTAAATGGATACCACCCTCTTACTGATTAGCCTGAACTTAAGCTACTTAGCTAGAAGAGTGTGCGGGAGATTGGACACTTAAGATCAAACCTTATTGTTTGTAATGTAGGCAAATCAAGGAAGGTTCATAATATGGCAATTATGGTTCAGTATGTATAACATGTCATAATAACGCGTTGGTTCTTTGGATTGGCCCTAATCCTTTCTGTGTAGGGTATCCTATCTGTTATTATCTATCGATGATGTTCTTCCCTGAGCACATCCCCCATCCACACCCCCCCCCCCCCCCCCCCGAGAGGCGCCCTCTCTGTCTCTGTCTCTCTGAGGGGTTTATCGAGAACTTCTATAACATTTCCCTTCTGTATTTCCTTTTCAACCAGCTACATCGTCTCACATTAATCTGGAAGTTTCAACTTTCCTGGTTTTAACTTTCTATGTGGTGTAAAAAATAGGTGTATTCCTTATAGGTTTGAAAAGAGTGATGGCAGTTGCAATGGCAGTATAGAGCAAAAATTGCTTGTTCTCATGATTTCTTCTCCAAGTCGGGACGATCTTGTGTTTCCAAAGGTATTATCTTCTTGCTTTATTTGTTCAATACATAAAGGCTCTACTTTGGTCAAACATTAAGCATAGCAACACCTTCTTTCATGATCAGGGTGGATGGGAGGATGACGAAACCATGAGCGAAGCTGCCTGTCGCGAGGCCTTAGAGGAAGCCGGAGTGAAAGGAGTTCTTGGTGTAGGTTTCCCTTTCCTGCTTGGTAACAGGCACGGCCACCTTGGCACTTTAATTTTTAAATGCAACAGAATTTGTACCTGGACATCTAATTTAGGAGTTTTCTGCCTCACATATTCTCTCATGTAACCTATTGTTGTAATGGATTCTCACTTCATGTGTCAATAGTTTTGGAAATCTGTTTTCGTGGTTTTACCCGATTTTCGTTGGTACATGTTTAATGTGATTACAGTGCCTCATGCATAACACTGAGACTGGTCATGCTTCAATACATAAAAGATGACTAACTCAATTCAGACTATGAAACTCAAGTAAATAAATAAATTTCATTTTTGCTTCAGGACAATCCACTGGGAGCTTGGGAGTATAGAAGCAAGAGCAAACAGAAGAGCTGCAGTCTGCAAGGAGGTTGTAAAGGTTTCATGTTTGCAATGGAGGTGACTGAGGAACTTGATTCCTGGCCCGAGCAGGCTAACTATGGAAGGAAATGGGTGAGTTCTGTACCCTGTTGCAAACTTTTGGGCCAGCAGATAAAATGCTGGCAACTAGTTGAAACAAGCACTATAAATTTGTAACCATCTTAGCTTTCAAACTCAGCCCTTTGGCGCGACCTTAAGTGAGGACTTGATATAATTTGTTGGTTGTAACCATTTTTCAGCTCACAATAGAAGAAGCATTCAGATCCTGTCGTTATGACTGGATGCGAGAAGCGCTACGAAAATTTACAACACCTCTCTCGGAGACCAGGGAAAATGACACAAGGAAAGAACTGGATGAACTTCCTTTGAGGCCAATCTCAGAAATTGGATCAGAACATCCAAATCCAATGTCATCATCGTCAACGTCCTTTGCTAATCATCCCAGCATACAGCAGCTTGCAGCTTAAAAATTCATGCAGTAAATGAACTGTAAAGGGTTGATCAATGATCACAAGTCATATAAAAATCCCTTGTACTGAAATTTCCCGTCTGTAGCAATTTTCTCTAGTCTTAAATTGTTATATTTTTTCTAGTAATTATGTTTATTTTTTAACTAAGTCTGTTTAGATTTCCTCATTTGTACAAGCCTGTAATCAAATCAAGATTTGGTGGAATGCACAGTTGAGAACCCTTAAATTATGTACTTGAAATTTTGTTTACAAGAAATGCTGTTTAATGTTTGGAGAATGCAAAACTTCTATGTTAGAGAATCGGCAAATATTTTATGCGACGTATATTGTGTGGTTCTAATTCTCATAACACAGAAGCTTTTTAGAATAAAACTTCCATAACTGTCCTGCTGTGTAAGTGATAAACTACAAGTTAAAAGAACAATTCTAGTGTAATTAGTAGTGCTTCTGGTAGCCGTCTCTCTGAAATCTTGACACTAAATACTTGAACATACACAGTTGTTCGGGCAAAGATTTCTCTAGAGAAGAATCCTCGGATCTCAGCACAGCTCCCCAAGGGATTTGCATTTTGAATGTGTAGTCAGGCTCTTACTTGTTGATGTGCTACAAGAAGAGAACAAAGTTAGTTCTGAAAAGTGCCTTTGTGGGGCCTTAGGTGTAGGCTTTGAGATTCGCAATCAAAACTAAGTGCTAGGCGTGCCACTGTTGTCACAGTCCGTCCCTGATTTTAAGAGTTTTTAAAGTTTTAATAAAAGATTTTACAAAAATGCCCTTTGAGGCACGCGCATTATTCAAGGTTAATCATTGTGTCGTGTCATCTAAGATTTGTTTTCTTGACATATCCTCGTAGTACTCGTCGCTACGGAAACGTGGGCGCAGACGATTCGTGATTTGAAGTTACGGTTAAAGTTTTACGGAACTCTAACCTGAGAAGTACTTTTACTTTGGTTAATATATATATATATATATATATATATATATATATATATATATATAGGAATTGCTTAAGGGGAGGGATCCCCATTTTTTCAAAAAAATAGGGATACGTTTCCTACCGTTGGATTTGACTTTAATGAAATCATGTGGTTGAGATTCTGTGGCCTGTGTTTTAATCTCAACCACACAATTTCATTAAAGTCAATCTAACGGTGGGGAGCGTGTCCCCATTTTTTTTGAAAAAATGGGGATCCCTCCCCTTAAGCTCTCTGTATATATATATATATATATGTGTGTGTGTGTGTGTGTGTGTGTGTGTGTGTGTGTGTGTGTGTGTGTGTGTGTGTGTTATTATTTTTATTAGTTGTTATTAGAAATGGAAAATGAAAGAGGGCAGTCGGGAAGGAAGAAGAAAAGAAAAATGGGATTGGGCAAAACTGCCCAATCTGAAAGAAGAAGGAGGGGACGAATCAGGAGAAGAGAGAAGGAGAATCTGACCAATCAAGAAGAGAAGAAAGAAGGAGAAAGGAGGGAAGGGAGAAACGGGGAATCACGACCCGTGGATTGGCAACCCGACCCGGTCGGTGTTCTTGCCATTTCCGACGAGTTTTGGCCCATTTTTCCGGCAAATTGCTTCAAGAAACCTCATGGGAAACACTCTAGGAGCCTTCCTCTATCCATTCCATCTCAAAATTGGAGAGATTTGGCTTTGAAAATGGAGGAACACGCAAGGAGGGGTGCGGCGGCTTTGGCTTCGAATCACCCAATCCCGAAGCAATTTCTTTCAATTGTCACCACCCATAGCATTCTCTTGAGGCCTAGAACAAAGCCCAAGCATTAGTTGGAGCATCAGAGTTGATTTGAGGACGAATTGGAACTCACCCAATTCTAGGGTTTCGCACGAGTTTGAGCAAATTGGAGCCTTTCCAGGCCAAATTGGCCTTGGCCCTCAGGTATAACGTTTACTCTACTCATTGAGATCTTCATTTCTGTAAATTTTGGTAATTTTTGGAGATAGTTGGATTTTTCGACGAGCCGGGGCGGCCGACCACCACCCGCGGCGGCCCGTGCGGCGGCGCGTGGCCAGTGGCCCGCTAATGTCATTCTTAGCATGTGTTTAATGTTCTAGGTTCAGTTTTGATAATTGATTGACGTAAATTGAGTAATTGAACCTAAGTTCGTTACGATTCGTGGTTAGGTGAAAATGTGAATTGATGATCCAACCGTTGGATCGTCACTAAACTTTGATACGTTGTAATACGTAATATTTGAGGATTTTAAGAACTTACGGATTGGGAATTCGATTTACGGATCTTCCGGAATTGGAGTTGTAAGTTCATACAATATAATGTTAACCGTCACTTGGTTTTGACAATTGACAAAGATTCGACTGTTGGATGGTAAGGAAATTTTAGGATGTTGTTCTAGAGATATATTGTGAACCTCCAGAAGTTATGGATTGGAAATCTGAGTTGCAGATCTTCCGGATCGAACTACGTAGTGACATGTTTTATATAAGTTATATATTATATCGATATGATTTCTGAGGTTTGTCTTGATGATTATTCTAGGCACCGATGGTCATGACGCCTTGATGTGTTGTGCTAGGGAGTTGTAGGGCGAACTCCAGGTGAGTTGGCAGTATTTTCTGTATTTACTTATATACTATTGATTTTTCTCAGAAATTGAAAATAAATGAAAGTATGTTTTAAAATGCCATGCATGCATATTATATGAAATATATGAATTAGTATTTGATGCATATATGTGAATTGGTGCTGTGGACGCACAGGTAAATATCAAGTGAGTTTTATGTTATTCATATGGTTTATTGATGATGTGAATTGCGTTGAGAGCTCATAACCTGCACCCTTGGTGTTAGTGCTTATATTATTCACCCCGCACCACACGCTCACCTTGGATCCAAGTAGGTGCATGTCGTATAGACCATGAGAGGTGGTTCCGACATATCATACAGACCATTAGAGGTGGTTCCGACTTGTAGGTGATTTTAGATTATTATACAGTTGTTGATGAGATAAGCATTAGAGCGTATTCTTACACCTTTCTTATCGTACAGACTACTTCAAGTAGTTCTTATGTATGTGCAAAGTAGCGCCGTACAGGTCACTGTGGTGACTCCGGTTGGTTGGATATTGAGCTATTGAATTAACCGTACATGACCAACTGCAGGGTCTCCGGTTGATTCCTTATTTCACCTGTTAAATGTTGCACCCTTATTCTGTTATTGACGCTTATAGCATGGCATACTTTCTGGTTTTTGATAAAGATTGGTGATTTGAGATATTTGAAGAATTATATGCATATTATGTTATTTTCTGGGAAAGTATACAGGTTTTACAGTGAGGGGTTAGAAATGTTATTAAATGAAATATTTTCGAAAAACTTTGTTTTACTGACCCACTCAACTTTGTTTTGCGCCCCTCCAGGTTCAAGATAGCAGAGCTTTGGTGGCCACGAGAAATCCAACGGTGTTCTGACAGAATTCACAAAAGTAGGACTCACCATCAGGTGTTACATCTTAGTAATTGTATCTTTAAAGCTTCTGAATTGTGTAAATGGTTACGTCACTCTCATGTGATGGCCAACATGCCCTCCTTCGGGACGGGGTGTGTCAACTGCTATCACAATATAGTAGATGTAGAACAAGTGTATTTTAAGTCGATTACTTGCACCCCAAGTTACTTCAAACTTCTTGTTATCAAATGATTGTCGTGGATAGGTTAAGTCTACATTAAGTTCTTTTTCTTTTCTTAGTGTTGTATGCTCGAAATGAAGGGAGTCTAGATCGCCTTAAGTCACTTGTTTGGTTCTAGATTATATCTAATGAAAGCATATTCATTTAAGCGAACCAGATCCAGATGCAAATGGACTTCTTAAAATAGAAAACAGGTGGAAGTAACTTGAATACATACTGGAGAATGCATTAAGTAATAAATCTACTAATTTAGAAAATAAACAAAGAGCTTTAGGCAAGATTTCACCTTGTTTAGCAAGGTTGAACTTTTTCTAGTCACTTTTCTTTGAGTTTACAAGAGTTGTATGCTTAAAAAGGGATGGATGGTAAACAAGTTTACACAAGGGAATCGATACTACGCCACTAAGGGAGGTAGCAGAGCTTTTAGACTAAACAAAAGATGTCTTTTGTAGGGAACTATCCTTAAAATGACTGAATCTGAGGTAAGTTCAGCTTTTGGATGCAAATCTAGCTTCAGAGCAAAGTTTGTATGTTTGTTTGTTTGATTGGTTGAGTGTGTTTGTCTTTAGGGTTTCTTCTTCCTTTTATAGGCAAACTAACCCGACTGCTGTAACTTTTGCTCTTGCTCGAAAACATTTGGAGGGTAGTGAGTCATCAGCTTTCTTACTTGTAATGCCACTGAAAAGTGTTATTTGGTGGATAGTAGGTTAATCTCCATTACTTGTCACTTCACTTATAGACACGTGGCTTATGACTTTTGGCTGAGAAAGCCTCAATTTGCTTCTAGGCTTAATGCTGGCCTTTGGGCAATTCCCCTTTCAATTGGTATCCTTGGACTTTTTTTCACTTAAACCCAATATTCAAATATTAACCCAAATAACAGTTTTATCTCATCACAAACTCACAATGAATAAAACGAGCAAAACAGAAAAGAGCCAAAAATATCTCAAAGTCCGGAATGATCTTCAAACACGACAAGAAAAATTCAAACATCCAAACGCTCCCTCGAAACCCTGAATCCTTGCAAAAATGCTAGAGCACAATACAAAAACATTCACCCTTCAAAGAAAAATACCTTAATTAATCTTCCTGGTTAGTTTAAGTTTAATTCCAAAGGCCGTGGGGTTTGATCAACTTTGTACTTTTCCCTTTCGGTATCTCAATTTTCTGAGACGACTATGTGAACTCGTGCATTGACAGAGACCTTCTGCTTCACCGTAGATGACTTTAACTTAGCTAGAGAGCAATTTGCAATTAGAAGTTTTTAGTTTGACCGTCACATTTTTATAATAGTCTTATTTAAGGATTTTGTACTTAAGTGTTTTAACATGAGAGAATTAGTAATAACATGTGGCATTGTGATATTAACACTGAAAAATCTCTTGAAACAAACATAAAAATATATACGAACGTGAGAAAGTAACAAGTGATCAAATGATATTTCTTGACTGTCGTATCTTAACATAGTTATTAATCTTATTAAATATGAATAGATACCAAAGTTGATAATATACACATATCAACGACCTAATACGTATGTTAAGACAATCATATTAATAACATCAGATGACGATGTAGCCATAACACATAAAAATCTCACAAAACGAGTTGAAGAATTATATGAATATGGCCAAATGGGAAAAGATCAAGGGACCTTGTTTGTGTGCCTAACTCAACTTTGTCCTAGTTGTCTGGATTGTTAAACTGCCACCTTTATCAAACCCTTAATTTGATTTACACTTTTCTTCCATGTAACACGGGGAGGGTTCCTTTGACTCTCTACACCTTTCTTTCCAACACATCTTTTCACTCACATATATCTTTCACTCACATATATCTGTTTTATTTGTGCCTTGAAATTGGAGATTCATGGGATTCACAAATCCACCTTGGCCTTTATTCGAGTTTTTTTGACTTTTGACACTTAATTTTCTTCCCCCAGGAAACCACTATTCACCTACTAATTAGTTCTTAACGCCACCCACCATTATGTAAACCTTCTTGTTTTCTTTTTTCTGTTTTCTTATACCAAGAAGTTAATTAAGATTAGAGATTTATTAAAATTGCACTCACACACTTTGGTCACTCTAACCCTAGTTGGTTATTTTATTCTCACTTGAAGTTGAAAGTATATACTCAACAGATTCACAATCTACCCATGCATAATGTAAAAAATGTCAGATTTTATTCGTTGTTTTTAGAACAAAATATTTTTTTTTCATCAGATTTTATAAGTTGTTTAGAATAAAACAATTTTTTTTTTAATTTTATCAAATTTATATTTGTTCGAACACTACGTTTTAAACAAAATAAATACTCTTAACCATATAAGATATAAGTTCCACACAATTCACTTTATATGCGATCAAGAATTGCTTGTCAACAGTATATTATGTATAGAGGAAGCACATGGGTTGGCCATGCCACTCAAATGCTTAAGAAAACGATGCACTGTATTTTATTCATTTAAGACCATTTAGCATATGATTGCAGATACTGACTAACCTATAAAATTTGTCATCACAAAACCATTGATTCGAATTGAGAAGGTGCTTCTTGAGAATCTCTCTTTCTATATTTTTGTCAGAATTGTTTAATTAAAATGGAAGCTAGGAAGTAGGAATGATATATAGTTGTGTTGTGTCAGTCATGAGTCAAAGAGAGAGACCGATATCTCAGTCAAAAAATGCACCATAATAATATTGCCAAATGTCTAAAAAGAATATCATCTTATAGAATAATGGTGATCAATCGGCATAAAGCCTTGTTTGGCCTAAATTCAGAAATCTGTGTCCAGGAATCACAAACGGCCGATTTATCCCTATACTTGATGTTATCTTTCCACTTTCTTGATATTAGTTAATTAGGTATAATCTTTATTTTAGATTGGACTATATGCTAGATATCATATCATATACTAGCCATTTTAGATGATATGGTCACTCGAAAGGCCATTTTGGTTGTCTTGGGCATTGATAATGATATTTCGGTGTAACCCAATGATAAATTGGAAAGCCAAATTTACATTAGTTTTTTTTTTTGAGACAAAGATAAAATCAAACGTGTTAAGAACCCACCTCAACCTTTATTTCAACTTGCATGCTTGTTGCCCTAAGTTTATAGTTAGTTGTCCCTCTTTTAAAATGGATACAAATGTTTGACCTATTTGTGACCTTGGCTCCCTCCAATTTTTACACAGTATATAGGCTCGACTTTTGCAATAGGGTAGCAATATGATTCCCATGAGAGTGAACATGCACACGTGAACGTCAAAAGATTGTTTACCAAATCCCATTGAGTGACGTGCAAACACGTATGTGACTGTTAAGTTTGACATTAAAATTTAAAGTGTGAATCTGTATTGTGATAAAATATTTTTAAAATATCACATAAAAAATCAATCAACGACGAATGAAGAGATCCAAGGGTATCAAATATATTATGCATTTCCCATGAAAGACAATTTCTATATGATCAGGGTGACTTGGTTCATTGTTAGAAAGAAGATTGTTCGGTTTGAAGAATCTGGATTTGATTGTTGATCTCTTTTTAGAGGAAAGTCACACTTTGTAATTTTGGTGTGAAACATTCTTTTTTCCTTCAATTGAGTCAAAATCTCCAACAAATTTTTTCTTAGCATATGGTTTTACACAATGGCCAACCATGAGGCATGCACCAATTTGGGATTAAGTTGATAATTACCAATTCACAATTAGCACAAGTTACAAGAACTTGTAAGAGAAAAATATTTGGAAGGATAAGACAGAAGACTAAGATATGTGGATCTGAACTGCCACCATCATTAATTTAGATTAAGCTGACTAATGTCTTCATTAAGGTATTGCCATCTTAGTACTTTTTCTTTCTAGTTTTCGTTATCCATAATCCAATAAATTGGTCTTAAATCGGATTCCAGTTAAAATAACAAAGCACTAGTTAACCTAAATATCTAAAGTAATTAGATATGCATGTACCGTGTACCGAAAGGCCAAGAAAATGGGTCCCAATAGGTCAAGTTTTCTCTCGATCTTTTTCTATTACGTAGGTCTTTCCTAGTGATTGTTTTTTCTTCAAAAAGCTATGCCCTTTGTGTCCCTCTCACATGCAACCCAACATGGCTTTCCTTCAATGGAGGTCTATCTGCGTGTTCATAGTCATGAGCAACGAAGGATGCTCCAAAACTCACCAAAATATAAGAGGAAAAAGCCATTTCCATGTAATTAAACGAATTATAAAACAAAAACTTTGGTTTGAAAAGTTGGGAAAGAAGGTGTGGAACATATCATTATATTATAAGCTCAAATTGGATGCACGTGGCTGAGATAATTATATTCCCTGTGTTGTTGCATGTACGTAAAAGTCTCCATATGCAATGTATAGAGTAACATGTGAAAATGATTTATACTTATCTACGTATGTATAGGACAATAATATAATTTGTCGCGCAATAACATTTCATTAGACTATAAATTTAAACTGTAATATGGGAGATGCTCTGAAAGAGAAAATCTTGGGGATGATCTAGTATATATGCTCGAAAGAGAAATGCTAAGGAGATGCTATGAAAAATGAGACTTTTTATAGACTCTCTGACACCTTAATTTTTTGGCACATTGTTTTATGATGTAGACACGGTAATTGACATTAAACTGTAATGTGACAGAAAGTCTATAAAGAGTCTCGTACTTTGAGAGTAAGAAAGTCTCCTTAGCATTTCTCATGCTCGAAAAGATAAAGGTGGTATTAAAATGGTGATTTGCTAATTGCATTGGGATGATCAATGATGGGGTACTGACAATTGAATGATCATGGGAATGATAATTAGAGATTTGAGATGTATTGAGCAATCATATGTTGCAGGTTACTCCTTTTACAATGCTTTTGGGTTTGGATATATAAAACTTCTTCTCAGGCGTGCATGCTCATAATTCAAAGTAATTTGATTACTGCAATAGAGTCCATGATTAGTAGCTGATCATACATTCAAGTCAGACTCTCTCTCTCTCCCTCCCTCCTTCCTAAGGCACATGCGAGCAAACTTTAGGTTATATATGATATTAAGAACTTTGGGAGTACTGCATTATAATATTTAATCCAATTGAAAAAATATTCCTAATTATTAAGAACATAAACTTGCAACAAGTTAGATGAATCAGCACACAAGGATAATAATGGCCATAAGTTGCTAATCATGCATGCCAAATAAACAAGATAGAAAATGTATTATTAAGTACTTATTCAATCAATCGGAAATCTAAGGCATATATTGCAAAGGTTCCGCGGTGATTTAATTAGGGTTTTGTTTAAATAAACTAGATTTTAACAAATAAATTAGCAACGGATTCATGAAGTTGCTGTCAGCAGCAGAGAGAACAACATTCTCCAGGGTGCCCTCGGGCCTCAGCCATGGATGATGTGCTTTGTGGCAGAAATTACATGATGTCAGTCATGAAAAAGATGGACCCAAAATTTCTGATGATGATTAGCATGCGTGAGTGTGAGAATTAAGATTGCTCATCATTTGACAACTTATTTGGTTTATGGGCAACTCTGTTAATATAAGGAGAAATTTTTGTGTTTAAAGAAAACATTGTCACGTGGAGTTATCATTTTACGTATTATAACATAAGAGGACGACTTTTCAATATGTTTCACTTTCAGAGTATTTAAAATAAACATATGTTAAAATTGAGTAATGCTAGGAACACCAAAATTTTTAAACCAAATGATATGGTTGTAGATGAGTGAATTATTAATTAAGTGTCGATTAACGTGCTTGTTTTTTAATAGTGACACATCATTTAGTTTGCAATTTAGTTTAAAAAATTTAGTCTGCCTAGCATTATCTGTTATAATTTAAGCGAAACTACAAAATCATGTGGCGATGTTCCAGTTACACCAAAAATCACTATAATACAACATAACTATATTATCAATATTAATTAATTAATTACATAATAATCTCCCTTATTTAAACACCCCAACATGCAACGGACGAAAACCCAAGAAGCCTACAATCATTCCCTTCTCTAAAAATTCTAGTAGTCATCACTGACAATCTCTATCCAAAGCATTATCTCACAGAGAAATTTATAGAAACGCTTTTTTCTTTTTTTTTGTTTGTTTTGTTTTTCAAACAAAATCCATGGACTTCTTCACAGCCTCACCTTCTAAATCAAACAACTCACCATCATCTTCATCAAAAACCAAAAGAAAGCAACAACAGCAACAAACCCAGCAACCACAAACCCAGCAGGAGACTAGGTTTCTTGGAGTGAGGAGAAGGCCGTGGGGCAGATATGCGGCTGAGATACGAGACCCTTCGACCAAAGAGAGGCATTGGCTCGGAACCTTCGATACGGCGGAGGAGGCCGCCTTGGCCTACGACCGAGCCGCTCGCTCCATGCGCGGTTCCAAGGCTCGAACCAACTTTGTCTATTCAGACATGCCACATGGCTCGTCTGTCACCTCAATTATCTCACCCGACGAATCGCAACGCGACATGTCAGCGTTCTTCACTACCCCACTTCCCCAAACCCACTCCCAGTCTCAAACACACACCCAGCAGCCCATATTCACTCATCAGGACCCATTTGATGCCTACACAGTCTCTGGGGGTTCATCAACAGAGTTCGGAAGCGGGTCTTATGGGCCCATTTCCGGCGTTGTTGCTGATGAATCCGGGTATCAGTCTCAATCTCACACTCATGAGCTACCTCCTTTGCCTCCTTGTGTCTCCTCCTCCACTTGTTATGAGCCTGAAGGCATTATGAGCTCGGACGGAGTTTGGAATGAGTCGGGCTTTTACGGGTTTTCACAGCCCACGACGAACAATGGGCTGGACTCATTGGTGAGTGGGTCCTATGTGGGCTTTGACTCGAACGAGTTTGTGCAGCACAGCCCATTGTTTGGGAGCATGCCACCTGTCTCGGATGCGGGTATTGATGGGTTTGATTTGGGTTCATCCTCTGCCTATTTCTACTGACTTGGTTTAGTAAATCCATCTGATCTTAAAGTGTGGTTTTTTTTTCCCTTTTTTTTTGATCAACTTGTTTTGTTTTGTGATGGGCCAAAAGTAAGGGTGCCTTGATGAAATTGTAATGGCTATGCTCTTTATATTGCAAGAATTTGAGCTTCTTGGAGAGTTTAAATGTTCAAATGGTTTGACATGGTTTAGTTAGTCTGGTGAATTATTTTTTTGTATGGAGAAATTTTGGTGCACGACGGACTGACAGAGCACATGACCGTGCAGCCACACAAACAAAACGGAACCATTTTTTTTTCTCAAACTGTAGCTTGCCCTGATCCCACTATGTAGAAAGAAGGCAGTATATATGTGGCCGATCACACACACAAGACCACCTCCCTTGCATGGAGCGGTTAAGCGTGCATAAGACGTTTAACACTAAAAAGGAGTTCAAATCTTCTATGGCTTCTCTGTGATCTATCTTATTTGTTGACACTTGGCTATTCATTTGAACCCCACTTAACAATGCTAACTCTTTAACTTATTTCCTCACTTAAAAAAATAAACATAAAAAGATAAAATATGTCAAAAAAACATGTGTCATTCAAATAAATTGGGCACAGAGAGGCCAGAGTCTTTTTGGTGCAGAAGTCTGAAGATTTGAACTCCAAAAAAAAAGTCATGTCGCTCAGCAAATATTTTCCCAAAGATAAATACAAGCGGTCCAAAATATGGGAAACAACCGAGGAACGGGCTAGTTTGGCAAGTAATAGAAACAAGAAAAACCAATAAAAGTAATTTTTGAAGGAAAAACTATGAGAAATTGAACAAAATAATCATAAATTAAATCTCAATTGTTGAAGAAATTAAAACTATACTGACAACATCAAAGATTGACGATATGATGATCAAATATAAACAGCATTACTGAAATCAAATAATTTTCAATAACTGAGATTTGGAAATTGATTGTTTTGTGCCAATTGCTTTAAAATTATTTCTATGCCTAATCCAATGTCATTGGTCTGCTATGATATGGCCAAGCCGGCCAGTTTGTCACGCAAAAGGAAATCGATGACGAATTCGGATTGTGAAACATGTCCCAGTCTTTAGTTTTTTGCCACGGAAGAGACGCAAACACGGTTGGAATTTCCAGTCACCGGCCACCATTTAATGCGACTCCGTCTAAAGTCTTCAGTCTTCAGTCTTCGGTCTTCAGTTTTCACCTTTCATTATTTAGTTTTATAATACACACGCTTTCACGTATTCTTATAAATTGTGATCACTGTTTAATTAACTTCTTAGCTTTCGGTTTTGCCTTGAACCCATATGCTTTTTACCCTATGCTGCGTTTTCATCGCTAAAACACTCGGTTCCATATATTAAATTAGTAATTTATCTCTTATAAACAAATAACGCTGATAACAGAGAATGACTCTTTTATATGTTTGGATGAAGTGAGTTTAAACTGCAGATTTGTTTTAGGTGATGATTTATTTGGAGTTTAAATTATCTTTTGTGCAAGGTTTTAAAAGACGCTAGGAACTAGTTGAGTAGTTGGTTAGGCCCTAACCCCTAGGCGGATTTAAGTAAATTTATTAGATATCGTTTCAATAAGTGTATGCTTATACTTAAAAAAATACATAATTCCACTTAAATACATAAGTTACAAAGTAGAATGACATATAGATTATAAAGTATTAGAACATAAGAACAAAATGAAAGTTATCTACTTTATGTCTAAGTAAGACTTGCGACCTAGGCGCCTGCTGGGCCAGGTGGACGCCTAAGTAGGTATAAACGCCATTTCTTAATTTCAGACGTTTAAGAATTAATCGGGACAATAGCTAACTGTCTAATGCAGAGAATTTTAAAACAATATTTTTGTATGAGATCTTGCCTTGAGATAGATTTTTTTGGTCACACTCCACAAGATGAAATTTGGTTTTGGTGATAGTTTGTATCTTTTCTCCTTTCTTGTGTGAATTGTATCGCTTTCTTGACAATATTTTTTTGGTCAAACTGCTCGAGATAAAGTTTGAATTTGGTGATAGTTTAGTTTGTATCTTTTCCTCCTCGCTTTGTGTGGATTTTATTGTTTTCTTGACGATATTGATGTAATGTAAATGTTTATTTAAAAAAAATAATTTTTTCGTCAAGATAAGCTTTTCAGATTTTTTTTATTTAATTTTTATAATTGGTGCCTTGTGCCTTGTGGAAGAGAAGAACTCTCATGACGTAAGATAATACGATTGTATTCGTGCCATCAAAATCATTCTCGTTAATATTATGTCTTACAGCAAGATTTGACCTCAACACTGAAACCAAATTATAAAATAAAATAAAGTTAGCTCTCCTGTCCTGTGTGAGCTTTCTCAGTCGGTTAGCAGCGTGAGAAAAGTTCAACCGGGAACCTTTACCACACATACGAACGACGTACTAAAAGAAGGGTACGAGGACTTTGTAGATGTCTTTCAGCTTGACCTTCCCACCTACACTCTTTCAATCCTCTTCTTCTTCCTAACTTCCTGCAAAAACCTCAGCTCCTTGACTTAACTCCTCCATGGATTCTGCAACTTAAGAGTTCGAAGCTTGTACCTTCCATCTTCCTTTTCCCACAGGTCAGGAACTCACTTGCAACTTCTTTTCTTTTAATTTCGTTTCCTTTGGTTTATCAAGTTTAATTTCAAATAAATGCTAAATGATAATTATTTTCAAGACATAATTTGTTAATTTTATCTTTTGCTTGTAGTAACATTTACATTATTTGTCAGAAGAGTTTGATTCTCGTGAGTCTGGTTTTTAACCGAGTTTAGGTAGATTTTGGGTCTTGCCCAACAGCCATGATTGATCTTAGAGTTGCTTTGCAAATTACAATGTACTGCATTTCTGCTTTAGCATCGTAGTTGAGTACAGATGTAGGCGTATTCATATTGGTTAGAACATCGTTTGTTTTGTTATAACGAAAAATAGGCCAAAATGATCATAAATCAAATCTCAATTTATGACATGGAAAATCAGATATCGACGACATACTGAGAAAAAGTGATCATAGTAGCAATTGAGATATCCATCATGCTTGAGCAAAGACAGACTATGAAAGAACAAATAATGGTACTGAGATTTAGTCTCAGAATTCTTAATTTCAAATTGTTTGCTGTTTGGAGGATTTCAGGTCTGGATGCTAATGGAGTTGAGTGGATTTTTTATGAAATTGACTGACATCATATGAAACTAGCGAAACTTGGAACATCCATCTTAATGTAACCAACAACTAAAAATGAATAAAATGGATTTCAATATCGGAATCGAGGATGTAGGAGTGGCAGTGCTGCAGGAATTATGGAATAAGGTTGCAATTCAAGCCACAGGGCTTGTTAGCGAAACGAAGGATCTGTTGTTTGAAAAGGACAGCTTTCTGGAGTTCTCCAGGAGTATATCTGAGCTAAATATTCTCCTCGACAAGTTGAATGCCCGGAAGGTTGAAAACGCGCTGGGTTTAGAGTCCACAAAGGCTAAACTGACCACATTGAACCGTCAGTTGAAAAAAGCTAGCAAGATAATCAAGGATTACAAATATGGAAGCCGCCTCCGTCTCTTGCTTAAATCCCACTCAATGCTCCTGCAGATGCAGGAAGTAGCTAAAGATATTGCTAATACCATCTCCTCATTTCAGCTGGTCAATCTTGATATCGCGCTGCACTTGAATTCGATGACTAACCAGATCATCAACAATCTGGAGTCAATGGAGTTCAGGTCAGCGGCTGCAACAGAATCAATTGCTTCAGAGATGGAGAATTCGATGTCACAAAATGCTACGAATAGGGAGAATGCTCAAAAGCTTTTGGAAAAGATTGCAGATGCCGTTGGTGCTAGGGCAAATTCATCCTTGGTACAAAATGAGCTGCAACTTTTGAAGCAAGAGAAAGAAGAGATGGAAGCACAAAAGAAGCAGGCAGAGGCACTCCAGCTATCGCAACTGATTGACTTCCTCTATGCTACAGAAGTTGTTACTAGACCAGATGACGAGGGAACCTCTACTTACCACCAGCAGTACCCAATTGGTTCGTTCATATGCGAACTTTGCAAAAAGATGATGACAGACCCCGTAGCAATTATCTGCGGTCACAGCTTTGAGAGGAAGGCAATTCAGGAGCACTTTAGACGAGGAGAGAAGAACTGCCCCACCTGCAGACAGGAGCTTTCATCTCTAGAGCTCACACCTAACCTTTTGCTTCGAAACTCTATAGAAGAATGGAATCAAAGAGACCAGGACCTGAAATTCCAAGCTGCAGTTCATGGACTCAAATCCATTGACAACTCGAGACAGGACACGGCTTTAGAGGACATGCAAGTTCTTTTAAAAATGCCAAGATATGTAACCAAAGCTGCAGAGGAAGGACTTGCAACAAAGCTGGCGGTAATCTTAAAAGATGAAGGGGTAAATGCTGTGGCAGCATTAAAATGTCTCTACTACTTAGCTAAACACAACAATGAACAAAAGGTAAAAGAAAACGAATGGCTTGCTTAGCCCAATTACATTTCAACTTTGTAATCTTATTCTGGATGTAAGTGGTGTTGTTGCTTGCCTTCAGGAAACCATTGTCAAAGCAGGGGGCATTCGGAGAATTGTGAAGCATATCTACAAAGCCGGAAGCAAACATGATGCCGTTGCAGTCTTGTTGGAGTTGTCAGCAAAGGAAACCCTTGGGGAGAAAATAGGCAATGCAAAAGATTGCATTCCTCTTCTGGTTTCTTTACTCCATAAAGATAACACTGAAGTGTCACAGAAATCTCGTAAGGTATTGCAGAACCTCTCCTTGAACACACATTTTGTTGTCAAGATGGCTGAAGCAGGACACTTTCAACCTTTCGTTGCTCGCTTCAATGAAGGTAAAAATGATATGCCTGATAACGAAGGTAAATGCCATACCTTTCGACTGTTACACAACGTAATCATATTCCCTTGGTCTCTTTTCACAGCACCACAGGAGACCAGAACATTGATGGCTGCAGCCTTGGTGAATATGCAACTCAAGGAGAATAGTGTTGAAGACTTAAAGGAGCCGCAATTTATACAGAATTTGGTTCAGATGCTGTCTTCAAGCTCTCCAGCATGCAAATCAGCTTGCCTTAAATCCATCAAGAAACTCGTAGCATATCCCAGGATCGTAAAACGACTTCTTAAAGACCCTGCCACTATACCACATTTGCTTGGTCTCATCTCATTTAACAAGTCTGATCCACACTTGAAACAAGAAGCAGCTGAGATTCTTGCTAACATGATTGGAGCGAGTCAACAATTTGAACAACTAAAATATCAGGGCTTGGAGGAGCTGCAATCGAAGTACAATGTCTGTGTACTATTGCATCTTGTAACCAGCTCCGAAGATCAAACCAAGATTCAATTCTTGCACCTACTGGTTGAACTAAGCTATAAATCAGAGATAGCTCGAGATATAATACGATCTGAACAGGAGGCAACAGCTCACCTTTTCTCTTCCCTTTATAGCGATCATCCTGCTGTGAG